TAAGGGTCTGTATTTCTGATTTTTCCATCAAAATTTTGCGATTATTCTTTGTTTTTCTCCATCGAAACCTTATTTCACGCGTCACTTTTCTTAAAGATTCGTGCGATCCGAAATAGCCAGTGTCCTCCACGAATTATCAATGAAGTCTCCGTAAAGTTGGAACTTTTTTTTCAGTCATGTAGAAATTAATTATAAGTTGACGGAGTACTCCTCTATCAAAGTCATCTTATTTGGTTTTTGGTGCAGATGTTATCCTTTTTTCGTTGGGTGTCGAAAACAAAGTGGAAGCGCCTTCTTCAATGTTTTTCATTTCCTTGAAAATCGCTCTTGGACTTTTTTAAAATCACGAAGGGGGCCGTTTTGTGCAGCTTCTCGATGCATAAAGAGGATGACATTAGCTACTACCTCTCTAGTCTGCCCTGACAAAACTTTACGCTCTAATTTTGATTTAAAATCCATTTTCAATCACAATATTCACAATATTCACTACTTGCTTATACTTGCTGGTACTTGCTTGTATTGTCAAGTATTCGCAAATGAAAACTTGCTAGCAAGTCTCCTTGAGCTAATGCCACAGTATAGATCACGATCATTAAGTCTGGGTCCAATTCACCTACATGACCATATTTTTCTACCAATAGATAGCCTAGGTACCTATTATAACAATTATATTTCGTCCTCGTCTCGTAAATAAGAACAATTGTAGTTTCCCCAATCCATGCCGAATTCCACGAATTTCAAAGCCCAAAGCGTAAAAAACACTTTACTACGCCTGCGCAGCGCAGCGCCGGTATATTCCCGCACTGCTCCACTAAATCATTCTTTAAAGAGTTTGCTGAAAATTACTACAGTTAAACAAAAGGGGTTGCATTATAATGCCAAAGGGAAGGGTGGGTCTTATTTACTTCGACGAGGACTTCATATAATTACGATCGAACTTCACTTCAGGTAAGTTCGTTTGATCTAGTAATTATATTTCGTCCTCGTCTCGTAAATAAGAACAATTGTAGATGTTCAAAGAAAATAATTAACTGTATAATTTTCTGCACCGAATTGTAACCCCAACTCAGTGCATCGCATTTATTTAGAAACATCCTAAATAAATAACGAACAAAATAACAATCTTTTACTGAAAAAACAGAAATAAGATCCTCTAATTTTTACCTAATTACTAAGGCTATAAATGTAAATGAAATGAAACTTAAAGCTTATATAAGCATTGAAAGGAACTCAAAAATTATCCTCATAAATAAAAATATAACATAACTATTATGGACTAAGCACTGCTTTTGAAAAACTGTATGCATCGTTAATGGGTCTTTTATAAAAAATCGCGAAGGTCCTAGAATCTTGGGACCAACCGGCTGCTGATCTGATTATATCCATTGATATACCCTTTCTATCAGCCAAGGATGTCGAAGCATGTCGCGTTGAATGAGACCCATATATCGATGTATCAATCCCAGCATTATGCATCATCTTCCGAATCCATCGCGAGATTGATTGAGATGAAGCATCATGATGGGGTTTTTTGAATGTTATCAGTAAATTACTACAAGTGGTACCATCACGAAGCGGTTTTGTTTTCTGTATATAGAAAAGTAAAGTTGTAGCTACACAAATATCCTGGTCAGCTGTATAAAAGGGAAAAGAAATGACAGGTTGCAGCTTATGAGGGCCGGAAGATTTGATTCTTTTGCGAACAAAAATATTTACACCCTGATCTGAACATTGTATATTGTTCAACTCGATCAGTGACAAAGTCTGCACCCTCTGCCCCGAGGCAAGAGCTAATAGCATAGCTAGTTTGCAAGAGAGAAGCTCTAAGGAAATGGTGTTATTATTTAATCCTCGCAAATAAGTCAAAACCACAGTGGGATCCCATGTATTAACGTATTTTGGCCTACTCGGCCTTAGATGAAAAATACCTTTAAAGAACCGTTTTAATCTGGAGTCTTGTGCTACTTCTGGCCCGAGAATCAAGGCTATAGAAGATCTAAAAGAATTTAGGGTTCCATAGGCAGCGCCTCCATCAAATTGCTTTTGCAGGAACTCTATAATAACTGGGATAGATGCGGCAAAACAACTCACCTTTCTTTTACCACAAAAACGCCACCATAATTTTAAACCAGTATTATATTGTTTCATAGTAGATGATGTAATGGAAGCGAGGCATACATCTAAAGCAGCAGTTGGTACTCCTCGTAGCTCTAACGCTTGCCGGATAAAAGCCCGACAGCCAGGGTAAGCTGTGACCAGATGGGTGTGGCGTCGATCTATCAAGAGATAAAAGTAAATTTCTATTAGGATGAAAATAGATTGCAGGACATTTTTGCAGGGAAGTAAAAATAGGGAACCAAGGTTGCGTAGGCCAATACGGGACAACCACAATTCCTTCGGCCTTATCCTGAATAATTTTCTGTAAGACACGAAGGATCAAGGAAAAAGGGGGAAAGGCATAAAACTTTTCATCTTCCCAACTTAAAGTAAAGGCATCTACCCAGAAAGCTTCGGGGTCTCGATGCCAAGAGACAAATTTAGAACATTTTTTGTTCAATCGACTCGCAAAAAGGTCTATCTCTGGAGTGCCAAAAGAGGAAAGTATTCGATTATAATATTCATCATTTAACTTCCATTCTGTTTCAAAATTTACTTTCCTAGATTGTTCATCCGCCATAAAATTGTCCTTCGAGTTTACGTAGGAAGCAAAAATATAAAGTTTTCGTTCCTCACACCAGTGCCAAATACTCGAACAAAGATTGTTCAACTTGGGATACTGGACACCCCCCATTCTGTTAATATAGGCAATGGCGGTAGTGTTATCTATTCTTAACAAAATATTCTAACTACGAAGGTTATTGGCGAAGCATTTAAGGGCAAAAAATGCTGCTTTTAGCTCGAGGAAATTTATATGTTCTTGACTCTCACTGGAAGACCAGAAACCATTAGTCTTCATATCAGCACAACATGCACCCCAACCTGTCAAACATGCATCCGAAAATATTTCTAAAGAAAAGGAATCCCTTCTTATGCAATTTGATCCATTTGGGATGCTATGCAACCACCACCTAAGATCATGATGCAAAATGGGTGAAATTGTCATGGTTTTGTCATAATTTCCCCTCGAACGCTGCAACGCTAAAAACTTCTCTCGTTCCATTAGCTTGGTGTACACCCAACCATAACAAACAGCCGGGCATATAGCAACTATCTTGCCCACAAGCTGAGCAAAAAAGCGTATACTGCATCTGTCTGTTCTTAAAATTTGTCTTATTAATTTCAAAATAGCTGATTTTTTATCTTCGGGAACTGAAACAGTCATATGAACTGAATTATAGATAAACCCTAGATACCGACAAGTTTGTGAAGGTGTCAACATACTTTTTTCATAATTTACAACAAAACCAAGCCGCTCTAATGTAGAAATAGTGATTTTAACATTATTAGCACATTCCTCAAAGGAGTTTCCAAACAATAAAAAATCGTCCAAATACAAAACTGAAAGAAGACCTTTTTCTCTTAAAAGGGCAATAATTGGCTTCATCAGTTTTGTAAAAATATATGGAGCACAATTTAGGCCAAAGGGCATACACGTATATTCAAAAATTTTTCCTGCAAACTTGAACCGTAAAAATTTCCTATATTTTTTAGCAACAGGTATTAAAAAATATGCATTTTTTAGATCTACAGTACACATGCAATGATTCTGCTGTAAGATATTGCAAACTGCCTTCTGATCTTCTAATTTAAAATGTCTCTTTTTAATAAAAACATTCAAGGATTTTAAATTTAAAATAAGTCGCCTAGAACCATCGTGCTTAGGCACTAAGAAAATACTAGAGATAAATTCTCGTTCGACATGATTTACCCTTTCTATAGCGCCTAATTCCAAAAGCTCTTTAATAGATTCATTGAGAAAAATTTTCTCGGAACCAGACCAACCTCGCTCAGAAGGTTGGCGTCTCTGAACAAGATAGCTTACAAAGGGTAATTTAAGACCAGAAATCCAGGATAAAATATTTTTATCCTGGGTGATACCCTGCCAACCTGGTAAAAAATGTCGAAGCTTACCAACTAAAGGGCACACCTGATTTAATACTTCCGGTGCTTGTCTCTGGGTCGAACATTCGACCTGGATTGATGGCCCCGAGTGTACGAGTCTCGCTGACTCTGATGATGATGTCCCTGGCGTCGCTGGCCCGAAGTTGAGTTCTTGTTCTGACCTTGTCCACCCTGACTGGTTCCCTCGACTGCCTGACGAAGTGGACGGCGCCAGTTTAAAGAAGTCTTCTTCTTGACTGCAGAAAACCCAGGTTTTTTAGACGAACTGGCAGGCTTCAAATCCAAAGCGGTTTTCTTAATGTCCCTATTGGCCTTAATTCTGTCGCCCAAATCGCTTCCAAACAGCCACCCATCTGCTGCAACATTATTTAAGGTATCCTTGAGGTCCTTTCTAAGATTTAAGGCCACCAGGTCTCGCCCGATTCCAGAATATTTGTGGTGGATGTCTAATAACAAACGACTCGCATCGCTAGCTAGCTCAATCTGCCTATTTTTATCCTCCCCCCCCTTTTTCTGAGAGGAGTTCAGACAATAAGAGGCCTAGGGCCGAGAGAGCGGAACCCACCTGGGTTTGCAATGAGACGAGGTTGTCATCCCGACGCATGACCTGTTCACTAATCGCTGACTTCACCTCAGCGTTCAGCCGTGGACTTTTTAGAAGCAAACAATTTTCAAATGGTGGATGTTTTTTAATTAAATTAGTTAACGCCTCTTCTCTCAAACCTCTTTCCAATAAACCTGTCCATCTAGCTGCCAAGTCCGAATGAATTTTGGGACCAACTGGTTCCTGAATGGGCTCTTCATCACCCAACAACGCCAGAACATTCTCATTGAGAAGCGAGGGAGCCGGTGCATCCTCGCTGGGTATTTGCTCTGAAAGGAGAAAACACCAAATGACAAAAAATACAACTGTTGGCAGGAATCGAGTCATTATGTAAAAAACACCATAATATTTTACATCTGCCATCTGCTACCATAAGCAGGACTGCGTTGGCAGGAATTGAGTCAATATGTAAAATACACCATAATATTTCACATCTGCTACCATAAGCAGGACTACATAATCAACTGCATTGTCAGGAATCGAGTCATTATGTAAAATACACCATAATATTTTACATCTGCTACCATAAGCAGGACTACATAATAAACTGCTGCCATAAGCAGATTATATCTCCTTAAGGTCGGTAGATTCTGTTAGGTACCATAACCTAGCATCATAACCGAACTCCTACACCATCCCATAATAAAAAATTTAATTGTTTTTATTTAAATTATTTACCTCTTTCATTCCCGCCATCCCTGTCGGTGGCGGCGGTGGGCCTTTGGGCCAGAACCGCTAAAGGAATATCGTCCTCATCTCCATCGCAGTCATCGGCGCCTTCACCCAAGTGTCTCCCTTCAACAGAAATTGGAGAAGGGTCCGGTGACCTCGTACGAAGCCGACGATTGCGCGAGTGTCGGTGCGACGAACTCCTGCGCCGCTGACGCTCTCGATACGATGATTGATCGGAATCAGAGGAAGACGGAGAGCGTTGTCTCTTTCTCTTCCTAGCTGCTAACCGCCGTTTTAGCCTGGAAATTTTCCACTGGAGATAATCTTCACTATCACTATCTGACAACGAAATCTGCCCTTTACGATTGTCCGACATACTAAAACTGCGCTTACAACAAGTTTAAACCAAAATATTTAACAAAAACTTGAATAAAAACTGAAAATATGGCCGCTGAGCACTCGATGACGAAAAACACGACGTGACAATTCGGCACGAAAACGAAGAATGATTTAGTGGAGCAGTGCGGGAATATACCGGCGCTGCGCTGCGCAGGCGTAGTAAAGTGTTTTTTACGCTTTGGGCTTTAACACCCTTTTGGAATAAAATAAATGTTAATTCCTTTGAAGAGCCTCAAGTACCGTACCTTTAACTAATTACGTGTGATTTAGTTTAATGCGAATGGTAGGTAGTAGATAGGTACAATAAATGTCCCTACTTACTATTATTAAAATAACATTTTCATTAACATTTCGTGATTATAATACACAAATATATTTTATCCAAATAACAATACAAAAGAATTCGTACCCATTGGCCATTATTATCCAATATAAACTAAAAAAAAAATCATACTTCATCGGAGTGTACCATATGAAACAGGCGTTCTCTTTCTAGTTTTCACGCAACCAGCAAATTTTTCATATGCCTTCCTATCCTTGACAAGGTGTACCATACATTGTTTTCTTGAAGTTAACACAGTTAATTAAATGTCTTTTTGCATATTCTGATTTTTTATGATGCTTTACTCGACTATGGCAATGTTTGCATATGACTGATTTAATTTTTGGGAGTATCCTCTTTTGTAAATAGTATCCAAATATCTAAAGCCCTCTTTCGCCCTTTGAAAACTTTAACTTTTACCTATAATAACACAACAATAGGTAAATATCTTGGTAAATATGTAGGATAATTCCGGGATTGTTGGCCCACTTTTTTTTTTTAACGGCATAAAACTAAAACCCAAAAGGAAAATGGAACGAAAAATATTTATTTAACTTAACCCTTTCACTATTTTTGTACATCACCATGTACATTGAATTATGTTGCGATATATGAAGCCCGGCATGATTATTATGTGCAAACTCTGTTTGTACATCAGACTGTACATCCTATTCAAACCCATGTATGACGATAGCGTGTGCGCCAAACTTTTTCAGGGTGACTTTAATCATTTGTTAGTAGGCAATATAGTGTGATATGAACAGGTGGTTTTTAGGTCAGTGCTTATTATCTGTGTTTTTTTATGAAATTGGTGGAATTTTGAGTTTTATGACTAATTATTGGTGAGTAAAAATATCAATTCAATAACTATTTCATCATTTACATAGTTTGATATCTTATCAAATCCCCAGATTTTGATTGAATTGTTATGTACATCAGGGTGGACAAACACAGTTTATGGACATACATTTTTTTTTTTTCAGATAATGTCAAAGCCAGGAAAATATACAAAGAAGCTCACAGATGACGAGCTTCTATACTATTTAGAAAATGATGAAGCCTCCGATATTGATTTCCTCTCAGATTCAGATGATGATATGCCTGAAAAACAAACAGAAGATAATTTTTTAGATGAAATAATGGAAACAAACAATGAGGATATAGACGAATATGAAGCAAGTGATGTTGAGGCTAATGAATTGGTAGATGAAACTGTGAATGATAGAATTCGTGAAAATGATAATCTGGAAAATGAAGTAAAAATTTTCAAGCAAACACATAATCTTACTGATAAATCAAAAATAGAGTGGATACAGGGTGAAAATGTGCGATACGAAACCAGAAATATTCAATGGAATTCGCTTATTCCTACAAGCCCTGTAACAGATTTACCGGCCCCAATTTGCTTCTTTTTGAAATATGTCCCAGATAATCTATTTCAACAAATGTCTGATTTTACAAATTTGTATGCCACGCAACAAAATATAGCTAGGTTTCCACCAACAACTTTGAATGAAATCAAAACGTTTATTGGGATTCATATTGCAATGGGGAACTTACAGTTCCCTAGTGTGGCAATGTACTGGCACCGGAGCATGGGAATACCATTGGTGAGAGATGCCATGAGCCAATCCAGATTCTACAAGTTGCGACAAGCAATTCACTTAGTCGATATCACCAGCCGCGAAGAAAACAACAATGACAGGTAGGTTTGAAGATAATCGAACTGGATTTCTTCCTCATTTTCCTTCGAATAAATGACACCTATCGTCTTCTTTGATTATAGGTTATGGAAAGTCAGATGCTTGTACGACTCTGTGAGAAGTAGATGTCTGCAATTGCCATTAGAAACTAACCTTTCTGTTGACGAACAGATGGTGCCATTCAAGGGGCAGATAAACATCAAACAGTACGTGAAAAACAAACCTAAAAAATGGGGCATCAAAATCTACGTTTTGGCTGGCAAGAGTGGCTTGATATACGATTTCCTAATCTATCAAGGTTCAACAACACCCTTGAATCCCCTCTATGGAAAATATGGATCAGCAGCTGCTGTAGTGATGCAACTCAGTGATAGAATAACTGAGAAAAACCATGGACTTTTTTTTGACAATTTTTTCAGTACATATAATCTATTTCAATATCTCGAATCAAAATTTATATTTGCTATAGGAACAATAAGAGTGAATCGTTTCGCTAATCCAAGGCTTCCCAGTGATAAGGATATGAAAAAAAAAGGACGTGGCTCTTCTGCAACCTCAGTTAGCAAACATGGCATCGTTATCACTAAATGGTACGACAACAAGCCAGTGCTGGTAGCTTCCAACTTTGTTGGTATTGGCGAGAAAGACTCATGTCGAAGATGGGACAAAACAAAAAAAGAATACATGCAGGTAGATAGGCCTGAGGCAATCAAAATATACAACTGTAACATGGGCGGCGTCGATAAAGTTGACTTCTTATTGAGCCTATATCGATCCTATGTCAGATCCAAAAAATGGACAGTGAGGATGATAACACATGTTATTGATGTAGGGCTAGTGAACTCATGGCTTGAATATAGGAAGAAAGCCATCCTTTTAGGAGTTAATCAAAAACAAATTCTCGATTTGCTAGCTTTTCGTCAAGAAGTGGCCGAAAGTCTAATCTGCGGAAGACATGTTCTCAAAAGAGGTAGGCCATCAACCAGTACTGATGATCCAGGGCCCTCTAAGAAAAAAAAAACTGAAATACGACCAATAAGAAACCTTAGATATGATGGATACCATCATACTCCAGAATACGATGACAAAAAAGAAGCATCAAGATGCAAGAATAGGACACATATTTTTTGTATCAAATGCAAAGTCCACCTTTGTGTTTTGAAGGGGAGAAATTGTTTTTCCACATTTCATTTCATTCCATTCAATTTATTTTTTTTGATAGTTTTCATGGAGTAAATTATATACTTTTATTTTCACCAGAAAAATATTATTTTTTAGTTTTATAAAGTTTGTAATACATTTTTTCAGAAAAATTCCATTTTTCTTTTCAATTCCCTAAACTTTGTTTGTCCATTGTGATGTACATCTCTTAATAATGAGTGGGGATGACCGAATTTTTTTGTATATTTTTTTAATTTATATATAGTGTCCCTACATGTCGTATACCAAAAATCAGAATTTTTGAAGTACTCCTAAAAGGTGTGATAGTGAAAGGGTTAAGAACTCATGTAACATTAGGTTATAAGTATTATTCTAAAGTAAACTTAAACAGATAGATGTTAAAATTATTTAAAAAAAAAGCCAACTGGGCCAACTCTCACGCTTACTATGGGCTAGTTGGCCCAAGCATATAGGGTGAGATGACCCAAGGCAAATTTCATCATCTAGCACCTTCTTTTTGATAATATTTTGCCACAGAGGTCACAGAGGTTCAAATACTTAGAACAACTCTCATGGAATCACCTCTGGCAGTGTATGCATTGTATCCAATCATCTGTTTTTTTTTTGTAAGATTGAATTGTTCACCACAGCCAAGGCATTCCGTCAATCCTCTTCCTCTGAAGTATCCTCAGAATGATCATCATCCGTTGATGATTCTTCTTTTTTCATCCTGTTTATTTTCTTATTTTTTTTCATCATTAAGATTTTTCGCCTTATTTCTTTTCTCTGTTCTTCTGTCTTACGTGCAATAGCAGATTTACTTTCTTCAATGTGGTCTGGAGATGTTAAAATTGCAGCTTGTTTGCCCTTTTTCTTATTTTTTGCATGGCAGCTGATGATGTGCTTGACACAGGAGAAAATTTGTCGAGCAGTGTCCCGGGAGTGCCTTGATCGGCAGAATTCGTCAATTCTAGTGGAGGTTCTAGTGCAATATTGTTCAAGCTTGAGGCTGATATAGGTGCAATTTCCTGGTTTTCTGTTTGAGGGGCTTTTTTAGCAGTATTTTTATCTAAGTTTTGGTTTGTATTGGGAGCTTCCGTCGTGTTAACTGAAAGATAAAAAAAAGTTTAGATCTAGGCCTAGGTAGGAATATGAATTTAGACTTACCTGTATTATTTAATTCTTCGTCTTCAGACCCCAGGTAGGCATAGTTCGGTATAGACCCAGGATTGAAAGGAAAGATTTTCAACCGTCGCAGTTTTCGATCACACCGGCGATAACAATTGTCCAAATTGTAAGCAAGATATCTTCCTACTAGGATTTGCTTTCACAAATGTATTACATATTACAAACATTATTAAAATATGCTTTGAGATTGTGAAAAAAACACCTGTCTAAGGGTTGAAGAAACTGCGTGGTATGACCAGGTAAGCAAAGGAGAGTCGTGATCATCGGCGTATTTCAGCATTTTTGCAGAATTACAATTGCTGGTATGGCCATCCGTAGGAGTAGAACCTTTCCTATCGGTTTACGCGGAATAAACTGATTTTTTAACCAAGTGAACATCAGATTAGTATTGATGTAAGCTGATTTTTCATTCATATATACAACGCCCTATGCCCTATACAAATTTTGTAGGTGTAGGGTGTAGGTAGCCTTAGGTAATCTTCTTTCAAAGAGCTAAGGGGATAGTTGCGTCAGACATATGGTCATGTAAATCTTATTTTTGCAGCACCTCTCTGTAAACCACATTTTTTGTTCTGCTTTGTGGCTGCAGAATATGAAGACTATTTTTTGACAGCTGATGTTAAATTTTTTTGAAATGCCACTCGCTGCTAATAGCTTTGTTCACGGATCATATTTTGAACCGATTCCGAACCAGTCCTGTAAAAATTAACCATTAGGTGTTGGATCATTTAAGCCTTGTATTGAACTAGGGGTGCCTTGATTCTCATTTATACAAA